TTACTTTATAAGGCAGGGTCTTTCTCTAACCTGCAATTGGTGACCCCTGGTGGACAGAAATGAAATCTGTGAACTTTTTTTTTTTTTTTGGTTTTTCGAGACAGGGTTTCTCTGTGTAGCTTTGTGCCTTTCCTGGAACTCACTCTGAGTTCGGCTGGCCTCAAACTCACAGAGATCCACCTGGCTCTGCCTCCCGAGTGCTGGGATTAAAGGCGTGCGCCACCACCGCCTGCCGAAATCTGTGAACTTTAAACTCACAGACACGTGGCCTGAGAGCCTGGTCTGTGGTGGCCAACAACAGCACCCTTGGACTTGGGCTCTCAAGAATAAAGCTGCTCTGGTGTTTCTTGGCTTTGGTGATATATTGTGGAATGTTAGTTTAAGATGTGTTACATTTGTTTATGCTGTGGAATATTTGTTTAATGGTGCAAAGATGTGTTGGATTCTTTTACATTGCATTTGTTAAACTCTGTGAAGCTGAGTTACTGTGTCTGTGTAAAACACCTGATTGGTCTAATAAAGAGCCAAGGTGTGCTCCCACCCACCAGTGACTCTTTACTGTCTCAGTTCAGTCTCTGCATGAGGGGCCTTACACCAGGTGTCAGAACCATCCTGGGAGGCAAGGTCGTCCTCGGGCCGACACCGGGAATCAGCCTTTCCATTCCACTGTGGAATTCCTGGGGCAAAATGTAATTCTTTAGGTCCATTGTTCCAAAACTCTGATAGCTGAAACATTTCTTCTGATTATCTTCTTTCCTGCCAGGACTGTAGCAGAGTGACTTCAGTTCATGTCAGCAGTTCGGGGCGTCATTGTTACAGTCCTTGGACTGATTGAATGGGTCTTAGTGGCAAAGCCCTCGGCAGTCAGAGGGAGCCCCCTAGAGCTCTGGGCTCACGTTCCCTCTGGGGGACAGCATTGCAAAGGGCAGGAAGCCAGCCCTTGGCTGCAACCATAGCAGAGGTCTTACACTGAATGCTTAATCCTTTGGCGGGGTTCCAGGTGCCCTGATTTTCAATCCCTTCTTCCAGTTCCGTGGAGCCAGTGTGCAACTTCAGCAGCAGAGGAGAAGATGGTCGATCAGAGGGTTGGCTGGCCTCTCACACCCCCTGTTGTTCTTAGAGGATGGGGGTACACACTGCGCTCTTTCTGCTGCCCAAGGCCCGGCTTGCTGCTCTAAGCCCCATCTCATGCTCCCCTTGACTCCATCCCTAACCCCAGGAAAGATGAGCTGCTGCGAGCACGAAGCTTCCGTGGTGAGCTGGTTCACGTGCAGCTCGCCAGTACTGAGCCTTAAGGCCTGGTTGCTATGTCCTGTGTGGCACCTCCCCTCTGCCCTCCGTCTCCATACTTTTCCCTCCACAGCCTGTCTGCTGCCTCCCTTGGCGAGGCCTTTAGTCCAGTGGTCTTCAGTCATTCCCAGGCTGTATCTGCTTCTGTAATTCATCCCCCTAGCAATGACACCCTACACGAGATCGCATCCCTTACCTCCTGGAAAAGCTCCTCGTGTCTTCTTTGACTCCCTGGACAACTGTCCTGCGCCCCCTGTGGGTAATGTGACTACAGTTGCTGGCACTCACTTGGTGAAAATGAGACCCAAATAATCACACTTTACACAAAGTGGCTTCCACACCATGTGCCTCCCCCACATCCCCAACTTAACTGTCTTCTCTGGAGATACCTCTGTCCTTTCCTCCTTTTTGCCCAATTTTTGTTTATTTATTTATTTTTATTTTTTTATATTTATTTATTTATTTATTTATTTATTGGTTTTTCGAGACAGGGTTTCTCTGTGTCGCTTTGCGCCTTTCCTGGAACTCACTCGGTAGCCCAGGCTGGCCTCGAACTCACAGAGATCCGCCTGCCTCTGCCTCCCGAGTGCTGGGATTAAAGCCGTGCACCACCACCACCACCACCACTGCCCGGCTTCCGTTCCTGATTTCTGATGAGGTGAGTGAAGAAGACAGAAATGTGGAAGTGGGAACTTGAGCCAGGCAAGGGAAGCCACGGAGGGATACAGTAAAAGCAGGCCGGCCAGGGTGGCTGTGAGCCGAGGATGTGCTGCTAGTTGATGTGACGGGAGACACGCGGATGATTCTTTCCATCTGCAGCAGGGTAGGGAGCATCCCTTTGATCCAGATGCCGAAGGTGGTGATGTCAGGGGTGGGATCAGGCTGAGGTCAAAGTGGAAGGCTGCTGCCTTCCCACAGTGCAAGGCTGTGGGGCTTGGAGCAATCAAGTTGTGGATGAGCTAAGGTCAGCTGAGGTAAGAGAGTGAGGATTCCTAGCAGCTGGCTTTCTTCTGGGAGCCATGCCCTGAGGTCCTGGGGGAGGCCGCTTGCCCTTCTCTTGTGCGCATCTTGCTTCAGGTCAAGGTCACCCTGGGGTTGGCTACACACTGGTGGGAGCCACTGTGCTTGGCTCACCCCTGCTTGGTGACCAGCAGGGGGACACTGAGCAGTGGCCGGACTCTGACAGAGCCCTCTTCTCCAGCTGTTCTGTTGGGAGCTGGTGCCAAATCAAGGCCACTCGTTTTGTGACCTCTAGAAATCCACCCAGGGAGTCACTTGTCACCCTGGACCCAGATGTGTCTGGACCTCTCTGAATTGGAGCCAGCTAAGTTCCCTCGCCTCCGCTTAAGACAATTTGAGTTTCTGCAGTGAGCAACCAAAAGAAGTCTGAACTAATGCACTAAACAGCCCACTGGGGAAGAGGCCTGAGATTAAAGCCCCAGAATGGCGTGTAGCTCTAGCACTGGGGAGGTGGAGGCAGGAGGGTCAAGAGGTCAAGGTCAAGAGGTGAGGCCAGCCTCAGATACTGGAGACCTTTGTCTTAAGAGAGGGGTGGGAGAATGTGGAGGTGGTGGTGGGGTGGGTGGTGGTGGGTCTGGGGGTGATGGGGTTAGGGGTGGGGGTAGAGTGAAATCAGAGGTTTGAGACTGAGAGGGAAGGGAACAGCAGAGGGCAGTAGGCACAACCAGCCAGCACAGGCCCTCAGAGTGACTGGAATTTTCTCCCAACTCCACCATTAGAGACTCGGCCTCTGGAACTTGAAGGGGCAGTGTGCAATAACCACACCAAGGAGAGCTGTAAACCTGCAGAGGGTGGCTCCTATGCCCCTGCCCAGCCCCAGAAGGCCAGTTGCCAGCCCTCACCAGCCTTAACTGGCTTGTTTTTTCCTCAGCCCTGGCATGGGAAGGGACCCTACTGTGGTTGATATATTATGCACCCCAATAAACTTATCTGGGGGGGTCAGAGAACAGAACAGCCACTATATTAAACATAGAGGTTAGGCAGTGGTGGCACACACACCTTTAATCCTATCACTTGGGAGACAGAGAGCTCTGTGAGTTCAAGGCCACACTGGGAACAGAGCCAGGTGTGGTGACACACACCTTTAATCCCAGCACTTGAGATCTCATGTCTTGCTTGGAAAAGACACATGTCCTTAATCCCAGGAAGTGATGGCAGGAAACAGAAAGGTATACAAGGTGTGAGGACCAGGAACTAGAGGCTTTTTAGATTTTTTAGTCTTTTAGGCTTTTGAGCAGCAGTTCAGCTGAGATCCACTCAGGTGAGGACTCAGAAGCTTTCAGTTTGAGGAAACAAGATCAGCTGAGGAATTGGTGAGGTGAGGTGAGCTGTGGCTTATTCTGTCTCCCTGATCTCTCAGCTATCACCCCAATATCTGGCTCTGGATTTTTTTTAAATTAATAAGACCTTTTAAGAGTCATGTTATGGCCGGGCGGTGGTGGCGCACGCCTTTAATCCCAGCACTCGGGAGGCAGAGGCAGGTGGATCTCTGTGAGTTCGAGGCCAGCCTGGGCTACCAAGTGAG